TTTTTGTATATAAATTATATTTTGAATTTTTCTTTTTTGGTTATACTTTTCTTATTTTTATATTATAATATTTTTTAAATTGTTTACTATAATATTAATTGTATTGGCTACCTTTTCTTATTTTATTTTGTTCTATAATTGTACAACATAATTTAATTAACTTAATCAAAAAATAGTGCAACTCTAAAATCGTCCGTTATATAAACAAAAACTCTCTTAGAAGTTAGAACTTTCTATCTTCTTGAGCAATAATAGTTTGGCCTTATATGTCTTGGTTGCCTTATTAGTAGTATCATTTTGTTACTTATAATATTAGTGTGTTTTATAATTGTATTTTCTACAATTTAATGTTTATATTTTTTTATCTAATTAAATATATTTAAAATAGTGCTAAAAACAAATGAATCCAATTTTTGATACGTCAAATGATAGATTATACAATAGAGAATAACTCTCTCATTTTCAAACTCCTTCTCATCCATCACAAGATTTGAATTTAAAATTTCTAATATGAATGCTCAAGTTCTTAATTATTGGGATGTTCTTTAAAGGACAAAACTGATAAATCCAATAGAACCACACTAATCGTAAGTTAGATTGATTTGGTTGTAATATAATAATATATTAAACTAGTTTTAAAACTTTATTAACTAATTAAATTGATTTGGTTTTAAAAATACTAAAATTTGAAACAATTCGCATTGTGAACATCCGTACTCTATAAAAATAGATTAATTAAAATTTATAATGAAATTGAATAACTAACTGAGTTTAAAAAACAAAATTTAGCAAGTTTTAAACAAAATGATTTAAAAGTAAATCTGGAAGATAGAATACAAATAAATACTTTTAACTATCAAATAACAGAAAAAAAAAAGGAATAAATAAACTTTGCACTTTTTATGGGTCCTTCACCCAGAAAGATGTAACAATAATTCAATATGTTCCCCTACCTCAGATAAAAACTATGTGGGATCTGGAATTATAATTCAATATGTATATGGACAAACTAGGAATGTAGTAATTAAAATTCTCCCATAAAAAAAGAAAAAGAAAAAGAGCAGTAATTGAAAATCAATAAAATGTTTTGTAGATGATGGCCATTTAACACATCAGAAGAGTGTGGGACCCTTA